CTCTGTGAAATGTACAGATGTGATGAGAAAGACACGATGAATCAAAACTCATCACAGGCAGCATTTTATATATGTATGTAAAAACAAACATACGCATTGCAAGGCGCACTGTGAAATACACTAAATATAAAACACACATGACACTAAATAATGCAAACACCGCTTAATTTATTTATTGTTTAACATTGAATATTTCCAGTGAGACAAACTGAATTCCAGCTGCCTCCGTCACTAAATCCTCCTTCATCTCAGTTTAAAGTCACACGAGTCATTCTGGAAACTAGGGATGTTCTTTCACTGGCTGGATTCAGCTCTTCCTCGGGCCCCATTCAATTCATGCATGATTCACATTATGACGTTTCCTGCGTCCAGCAAATGACTCAGCACTGATGGAACATAGTGATTGTAAAGCTCGGATTAGCGCGACGAAACCTGGATACACCTACTGAAATCGCGATGTGGATTGGTGTAGGTGAATATTAAAACGCAAAAATACTATTTATATATTATTACTGCATGTTCTGTGTGTATGAATGGCGCAGACGCGTGGTTTTGTTTACTACAAAGATACTGAAGCACACGTGACATTTGTGGTGTTTTCAGCGCCTGTTTCCTCACCATATGAGGACAGGAATACATGAACTTCATATAAGAGCTTCTTTGAAAGCAGCTTTACCAGCATTTTACAGTTTTATTTGTGAAAACTCAAACCTCAAAAACATACCGTCACTAGCATTATTAGAAAACAGGACACAAATAGTCAAAGAAAATGTGTTGGCGATGTAAGCCTTGTCTGTCTCTCCTGGTGGATGTTTTATGAAGGATCAGAGAGTGTCAAATATCCTGATTATGTAAGTGAGGGAATCTTTACAATAAGAGACAAAGGCTGTTTTGGGGGTATGATGCTACTGGAGTTCATCTATAGAAAGACACATATTCTTTGCGTGACTTCATAACCTTTTTTTCCAAACGTCATATGTGGCTTTTTATTGAAAACAACTTAAAAGGTGAAAGACTACAAATAAATAAATAAATAAAAATAAAAGATCAAAATTCAACTGTCAGATGCTTTGGCTCAACTTTGCTTATTCAAAGATAAATTATAAAATTCATATCAAATCCATCCACATGCACTCTAAAAAATGCTGGGTTAAATACAACCCAGTGCTGGGTAAAATAGGGACAAACCCAGCAATTGGGCTGTTTTGACCCAGCAGCTGGGTTACTACCCAGAAGGTTGGGTTAAACATTTAACCCAACCGCTGGGTCAAATCTGTAAAATTCACCCACTTCCCACCTCCTCACCTGCACTTGTGTGTATAGTTAAAATAGAAATAAAGTCTCTCCACACCTGCAGACGTCTTCACTGACTCACCCGTTTGAAACGAACACTCATCAAATAATAGAATAAGGTAATTGCTTTAACATTTAATATAAAAAGATAGCTTCAGTTTTATATGCAATGCAATTTAATTATATGTTTCATAATTTATCTACTTTACGTTAAAGGGGTCCTATTATGCTCTTTTACAAAGTCTTGATTTTGTTTTGGGGGTGTACTAGAACATGCTCTCATGCTTGGTGGTTCGAAAAACGCAT